AGTAGTTGTGGCGAACTTCAAGAATAGCGTCCCAGGAGTGCGAACGCTCAAATGACCTTAAACGCATGCTAATCGTCGGTTGAAGAAACTTACAATTATTCTAGCACAAAAATGAACGCTGTTCATCTGCTCAGGTGCGAATTTCACCCAGATCACGTATTTCAATACTGTCTAGATAATGAATTGATAGGACGTTCTCGTATATGTAGTTGTGGTGCTTCAATGAACCTGTTCACAGGTCACTGAAGGATATATATTTAGATGTACTGAGTGTGGGAAACGAAACAGTTTTCATACTGGTAAATGACACTCTCAGTTAATTGTCTTCTAGGAACTTTCTTTGCTAGATGGAAACTTTCTTTGGCAAATATACTGTTTCTTTTCCATCACTAAATTTTGAAATCCAGAGTGAGGTCAACTGCGGCTCAGACAGAAAATACGCTGACGTCTACTGTGCAGTGGTTTCAATTTTGTCAAGATTTAGCATCATGGAAAAAGAAAAATATTACAATATTAGTTATAACATCCACACTACCCTTTAAAATAGTTGAATTCCGCAGAATAGATTCATGAAAGGATGTGCCTAATCAATGTTTTCCAAACTCACTCGACATCGGCCGACCTAATGACGAGTAGAACCAGAACGAAACCTGGATACTCAGACATTAAGGCGACCAAGGCAACTAAGCCTGTGCTATTTTGAAAGGTAGGGGAAAGATTCTAGGAACTGAATAGATTGCTTAGGTATGTTGTGAAGAGACCCCGATACTTGTGTTAAGAGATAAAACTTTAGAAATGCATACAATTATTTTCGGACTCTTGTCCAATTACCAGTTTCATCAAATGTGCTCTGCTCTGCATAGCTTCATAGGCCATATAAAAGCATGAAATAGTGAGTGTTTTTAGTCCATGGATGCACTGAACATTTAGTCATTAGTGTTGCGAGGCTTTTCAAAATCCAACAAGCAAAATTTGAAAACTCCTTTTGGCATTAGGGGCATATAACTATCTATCAGTACCATGCTCAATCAGAAGCGGCGTGACAAAAGATAAACGTCCTCCTAAACTCATCTTAACTATCCTTTTTAAAGATGGAGGGAAGACTTCTGTTAACTATCCACGAATTTCCGAGCAGTGGTGTTTAACTTTCTGGAGGAATACGGGCTTCCTAAGTGGTAGTTAACTGGTTGGTGTTTCGTATCTGTAATCACAGTATATACTTTGTACATTGGACCACCTCTGGGAAGAGTCGCAGTGTTCTTTTGGCTGGCGGTTACAATGATCAGTTAACTGTGGCCCTGTTCTGTATCTGTGAAAACTATTCACTATGAGCCAGGGACTTGTAATGGCTCTCAGCGTTCTATCAACCTGATCACCGCGCACTGTCTGGTGTCCGGGACTTCAAGATGAGGAAAAATCTGGTGAATGACGGCGCGTGTTCACATATGGTGTGGCTCATCTTTGAGCATATGATGCCATTATGGATCGCTATCTTCGGAGGCTTGAATTTGTGATACAAACATCAAGTGTTTTCCACCGTAATCTACCCCCAGGACTGGTTAGAAGGATAAGTAGACATCATAGAATATGGAATTTCGGAATGAAAGAGAGTTTGATACCTTTGTGTGAGTTCAGTTGGGAAGATCCACAAACTCAACTCGATATGTTGATTCGAAATGAATGCACACCGATCTAGGATGCTAAAGATAGTAGGCCAAAATGATAGTTTCAACTATCACATTTTGTCCATTATTCTTGCTCTTCGTAGAAATTTATCAAGTGTATTTCTGTCATTTTCCACCTTTAAGCTAGCCTACCAGTAACTGTAAACTCACAAAAGTGGAGGTATGTTTTCCGAATCTGGGTGCACTGCAAAGATCATATCAAGATTGCTAAGTTTAAATGCCTCCATAACTAGAACCAAGGATGGCAGACCTTTTGAATCAATACCCTACGTTTGTGTGCAACGTGATACATGTGATCGAAGTTTACGCGGAATTGTGAGGCAGAGTCACTCTTGAAGTTAAACGCTTCTTCCAATTTATGAATTTTTTCAAGAGATGTTTGGTACTACTAAGAACAACTTAAAAGACAGATGCATCTACTCTTATGTACAAAGGCCTTTATTTCAAAAGAGGCTTGTGAACAACCATGCATCTGCGGGGGGGGGGGGTAAAAGAACTTCATCAGCTCAACTTAACTTCAGTCGTTTCGCCGTCGAATATCAGCTTGTTTATCGTTGCTAATTGAAACATATGGTATGAAATATAATTCTGAAGAGAAAGAAATTGACAGCTTTGTTGGAGTGTGAATATCTACTTTAACACTCTCCTCGAACCATCATCAATTAGAACATCCTTCAGCAGACGGAAGTGTTATATTGTTCTTTTGCTAGTTAAGACGGCGTTAGGGGCAGCCTGGAAGCTAAGTTGGGTGGGCCAGGTTCGAATGTCGGCAAGCAATGAGGCGAGAGCTCAGGCTAAGAAGGGCAGACGGCCACACATCAACCTCTGGTGTTATTTCCAGTTCGAAGTTGAGGTTCAAGAAGCCTAACTAGGTGGTTTCCTATATATCCGTTTGCATTTCTACGAGCAACCACACAGTGGTATGAACATGTTTTCCGCAAAATTATTTCTTTATAACTTAGAAGCCACCGCCTTTACGTATTTTATTAAGTAATGAAGTAAGTACGAACGATGAGTGATAAGTAAAGAATGAATGCTAGAAAGAGGGAGTGCGAGAGAGTGGAGAAAGAAACAATAATCTTGTTCAGGAGATTTGCATACCTCTATTGTAAAGCACCTGAAATTCAGGTGTTTTTTTATTGTTTGTACTTGTACTGTTTCACAGCTGTTTTAGCGAAGTGGGAAATACGGCTGAAATTATCCCGCATGCTCAAGGTCATTGATGGAGTGTGACGCTCAAAGGTCATTTTCGTCTATGTTAGTCGGTTATGTTGGATTGCAGTTCCGTAGCCGTTCGTTTACACATTGGTTTTACGTTCTGTTGGCATTTATGGGTGATTCTCATGTACTGATAGCATTCTTTTGTAAAATAGTACTGTTCTTCACACGAAAATAGCCACATTTCGACGTAGTCTTCATTGAATGACACTATGTCGAAAGCTGCAGCTTATACAAGAAATAAACTATTTGTGTAGATGACATTACCCCCAACTACCCCATCTTCTTCATTGTAGAGATGTTTTGACGCATTCAGCATGAAACACTAATCATTACAACCAGTATGCTAAGTGTGTCGCAGTCAGATTAAATGACGCGAACACCGACATAACTAGTCAGGAAATGAGAATTCCTATCAATCCAGGAAACATATAACATAATTTTATTAAAAATTATTGACAAAAAACATTTGCCGAGCGAAATTTCAACCAACATGCCGGATAAGTCCAGCCGGAAATACAATTAATGTGGGATACGCATCAATCCTTGTATTCGACTCAGAACCCTACGGAATATATACAGTAAGGATGATATAAAAAGGGTGTATAATGGTGGTTGAAGGCTGTCAGATTTGACTATACAGTTCATAGTTGATCATAGGTCAAAAATGGTCATGAACACACAAAGCAGACTATTCCTGAGCATAGATGTGGTCATAATTTCAGATTTTAGGAGTGACCGATCTGTACATGACTCCCTTGGTTCACAATTCTGGTTTGACAACATTACTGCTTAAATGACCTGAGGTAACTCGGCTCGCACAGGAATTCTGCTGTCACGGCATACCAGGAAATCAAGAACTTGCTATCCAGAGCACAGCATGGCTTCCGAGGAAACCTCTCGTACCTGTCACATCTTCTTACTGCAGGAGAAAGCTGATCCAAGCCGAAGGACAACAGAAGGCCCATCGATATCATCTTCGCAGACTTCAGCAAGGACTTTGGTTAAGTTCCCACAAGAAACTTGCCACGAAGCCAGGAAGTCTTGATATTGAAAACAGCTTGCTTAAGTGGATTAGGGAATTCCCCACACGGAGGACTTACAGGGTCAGCATCGACTCCAAACTATCCTCCTGGACAACAGTGGGTAGCGGTGTACCACACAGCACGTTACTGGGGCCGCTCTCACTTATTTTGCATATCAGCAAATCATCTGCGCTTAATGGTTATGATATCACTGAAAGGGGGGAAATGATGCGCTCACATTTCAAGGGGACCTCAACAAATTGTTAGTTTGATCTATAGAATAGATGCTCCCAATCAACGTAGAGAAATGTGCAACCATGAGTATTAGACACGCAAGCTTCGGCGACCTCAACTGATTCACTCAAGAAGGGTTTCGAAAAGCACAGAAATTTTGTTTGAAGAGGATTAGCATAGGCTGCAAGCCTTCTATTCACAGTCAGCACATCTGAATCTATTTACTTGGTCTCACTGCTAATATATATATAAAGCTTGGGCAATGTGGTAGTAAGCAATCCCATATTAATTTGTTTATTACATGTGTCATACAGTGAAACAGTCTTATTTATTCGATGACATTTTGAACAAAATTTGTTGTTTATAATGATATCAGTTGATTAGTTTCACTACCTTACTCCCACTCAGCGTATCAAGCTCATTAGCGCATCGAAACTTGTTCGGTGTCTGCAGTTCAACAAAGTCTAATCAAATACCAGGCAATAGTAATGATTCGAAATGCAATTGGATCACTCTTATTATCTCTTTTTTTGACGACGATACCGGAGGACTAACTGGTGAAAGGATCAACTCCATTCACAGTAGTAACAGTCTTGACACACCTCATACTACAAACCACATATAAATAATCCCTGCACTACTCCTTTTGGAGTCAACCAAAGCTACGACAGTCGAGTGGCGGGACGAGCTACGCAGAAGTTCACCAAAGATCAGGAACCTATAGCTCACAATCAAGAGGCGAGCACAAAGAAATCAAATTGGTTTATGCTAGCTCGTAAAAACAATATTGGATATTGGACTACGACTCTATGATGCAGCGCTGCTTTCAATTTTCACCTTGAATTTGGCTATTCAAGGTCGGTTCGCAAACCTTTTATTTGGTTCGCAATTATTTGTGCTTGCTCCCATAAAATTACTGTTATTTGGCTTAAAATGTGCACTGTTTTCAAACAAAGGTTATGATAACTATAGCGATAAAACAGAAGCCATATATGTCTGGACTATCACATGAAATTATGTGATTGATATATTTCAGCAAGCAATGACTTCGAGCTTACTGCCGAATTTTTGGGGCAAACTGCAGACAATTGTCCCATGTCCTGCAATCCGCTCGAAAAATGCTTGCTGGACTGTCTTTTCAATGAACAATTATCTCTATTTTACGACTTATTTCACATATTTCGCCTTGTGTTTACGTACTACAGTGACTTCTATCCAGATGAAAGTTTACGGTAGTGGATGTCGCCAAGTCCACCACAACCTTGAAAAAGTGTCATCACTTCAAAGTCATTAGACAATCCAAATAGCTCGCATTCAAAGAACTGGAAGTTGTCTTTTGTTTTCCAACTAAGTTCAGTTAAGACAAGTGAATTTCAGATAAACTGACTTTAGTTTATGTGAAAAAGATTTTTACTTTATATTTTGATGAATGATAAAATCCGAATAATTCTGCTGAAGAAGCTGTGGCGTGCACAATGAACAATAAATTTTGTTCGAAACGTCACCCAGTAAATGCTAATACTGTTTCACTGTGTGATACATCCAATAAACAAACTAACATGGAATTACTTACTACTACGGTGCCCAAGTTATACACATATATTAATGCACAGTGAAACGTTCTTAAAAATCTTGTTTTGGTTTTTTTAAAACATGCTGGGATTATTTTAAACAATTTATAATGGCTCATTTAAGTCTAGTTTGAAATACTTCACCTCAGTTTATGGATATGCGTACGACAATATACAAGGAAAATTTCGTTGGTTAAAGCCATTTGCTACTGTGCTTTGCTGTACCTGGGTTGACAGTTCATATCCATTTTCTGGGCGATAGAGACATATCTTTGTGTCATTATTAATAAATAAATAAGCAGAATACCAGAGCAAAGTACAACAAATGTGATTGGACTGCTTCTTTTGAAATACAGACAGCCTTTTTACTTGTAGTCTGATTACAAAACCAATTTTTAAGTTAATTTCACTATTCTTTCCACTTTATTCTTAACGTTACTTCCAAGGCTTGATGCTTTGCGTTTCATCTGAGGCAGGTTTAGTATACGCCATTTTAGTGATTACCTTCTACGTACCATTAAAGTGAAGGTCTGAGCCGGTATACATATTTTCAAATAGGTTATAAATGTTTCCACTCCTTTTATAGGTAGTTAAATGTGTGAAGTTAGTATCGAAAACTACACTCAGTAATCGATGAGTCTCCTTTTGCTGATGTAAATATAAACCTTGAACGACATTTGGCATATTTAAATTATAAAGATCTCTTTAATGGAGAAAAGTATTTGAGCTTACCAAGGTGTTTACCTAATAACTGTAGCATAGCCATCGTTTTATTTTGAGACTCACGTTCTCTTCAAATGTTTCAGTTTTTTGTACATATGGTAAGCAGTACACTGGATTATCACTGTGCTTCGCGTCTTTTCACTGGCTGTTGTCAGCTGATGGAGGTAGTCGTCACTTCATGATCTAGAATGAATAACAGCCAAATAAGAACTTTCCCACCTAATACAAGTACTCGTTTCAGATGTTTCGGGAAGACTATTGATAACAAAAGTACTAGTTGTTAGCAGTGTTAGTGGTTTGTTCCCATTCAGACTATTATGAAGGTCTGTGTAAACGGTATAATTAAATACGTCACCTTGATTTTCTATGATAATTTAAGAAACCCTCGTCAGCTAAAATATCATCCTTCGGAACACTAAATACTAAGTGAGGTATTTGTTCTGGTATAAAATCTACGTCATATTGGCGCATAAAACATGACTTTATTGCCTGTTTTTTTATCTTACTGGATGTCCGTTGAAACCGGTTTGCTTTCCTCATGGCTTTTTAAAATTGTCTAGATATTGCAATAATGGATATATTGTCTAGATATTCACTGAAGTATGATTAAGATCCAGATGTTTCAAAAAAGATCCTCCATTCTCTTGTTTTGACAACTAATATCTAAAGATGCGGACCTACATCAACAACTCTGTATGAGTATAAGAATATTATGCAAATCAGAGTGGTAATGCATTCTACCACCAGTCACTTTAGGGAAACACTAAATTTCGGTTTTGGGAGATACTTCACATTCTCCGGTACTTCTGGGATTGAGATAAATTCTACCTATTTTGCATTGGCCAGTAAGATAAATTATGAATCATAGATTCTAGTAGGGGTTTAGGCGTGACTGGTTGTATTGAAATTTTTATATCTGACCTTCATCTATTCATCAAATAGGTAAGATGTTAACGCATAGCTCATGAAAAGAAACTATTCTCAAGTGGGAGTGCATAATGACTTTCTTACGACATACATAGTCTCAGGGATAATCTTGATTACCAGGATAAGTTTTTTCATCTGCCAGTCTATAACTCACCTATTTTGATATGGCTAATGACACGACTCATTTTCCCAGATGAAGGATGATTATTACGTGTTATCGACTGGCTGGAAGTCGAGTGACAATGAGCCACATGTAACAAGCATCCAATTAAAAGAGTATTGGTTTTGATGTTCTGTTTTTGAGACAACAATGTAGTTGCATTAACTCTCATTTATTTCGTGAAATATACCATGCGATCTAAATTTTATGTTGATTTTTTAATTTTCATAAGCTGTTTTTATCCTTAGGACAAACACATTATTCATTGTACTTACTATCAATTCGATGGACACAACTGACATTTAAACGCATTTCGAAGAAGCCAGTTGAAGATGTTCCTGCTAAATAATATTCGTTCTCCATTGTCAAACACGATTTCTAGAATTCTGCCAAAATTTGGTAGTTTGTATGCAAACCATTTGTCTATCGACTCAAAATCATCTATACCGCAAGCATCTGCTAAGAGTGATGAGGAAGATACAGTTTACGAAGTTTATGATGATCAGTGGGAAGTAGACCCACCTATTGAACAAGTTTATGCATCACATGAAGTACAGCCTATAGGACAGCTACCGTTTCTACGCATGAAAAGTATGCATTAGAAAGGTTTCATTCTTAATTTAACTCTTAACTAGGTCTTTTTAATGTCCCCGAATTAGTTGAAGTACTAAAACATCGAAATGTCCAGGATATTGTATGCTTGAATGTTGGCAGTAGTTTTGTTGCTCCTTATATGGTTATCGGAAGTGGTTTATCCAGAAGACATATTCAAAGTACTACAGCCTATGTACACAAATTAGTAAGTTTTTATTTTTTTTATGAATAAAGCTTTATTGTTGTATTTACTTATATAATGTACTTTCAGTGAATAACGACACTTCAGTGGAAAGAATTCCTCGAAACAAAAAACGACAGTGTTCAGCTGTCAATAATTTATATTATGTATATATATATATAATTAAAACAAGTAGTTCCGTTTATGAATTTAGACAAGGCAATAAGAAGACTTAATTTGTCTGAATCGTGTAATGTATTTGCGCAACACATTTCGAACAGTCTGATCACACACGGACTTGTCATTGGAATATATGTGAAATTAATAAAGAGTTAAGAGGTGAGAAAATAAATTTAGGTCAAGTTAAAAGGACATATTGAAGGTCGAAATAACAATGAAGACCACTAAACCAAATAACAGAGGTAATAGTACATCCACCTTGGCTGGTATCAAAACAATGTTTACCAAGGAAGGTAGGTTTAGTATGATGATGAATTGTTTTTGCACGCATAAAGGTGGTTTAAACTTTTTAATTGCTAGGGCTTCCACAAACTTTAGGATGCCCCCCAAACACGTTTATAGATAGGTTTAAAAGATGTGTAAACGTCAATTTTATGTCCTGTCTCTATAATATGTTTCGCAATAGGGGAGCTAGGTCTCCTGTGCTCACCATTAATGGTTTCTGAAGGTCCTGTTTGCTTCTGGAGCCATTTAGGAATATGCTCTGAAGCCCTTACTTGCAGAGATCGATGAGTCCTCCTTATGTATGTGTGTCCACACGTACATTCAAATTGGTAAATACAGTGGGATGTGACATCATTTTTCGCATGTTCAAAGGGCTTAGATGGATATATATTGGCTTCACATTCTCAATTATTATGATATTAGCTGCATAAAAAGTCTTCTTAACAGCAGCGTTCAATCTTTGTCTAGTTATCAATCTGCTATGATGCCCCATATAGGGTAGCTTGATGTACACTTCTTTCTTAGGGGAGAGTTGAAGAGTGGGTCTTTATATCTCCTAATGAACTTGTCTGGATAATTGTTATCAACCAGAGTTTGTGTCAACTTTCTTTCTTCCTCATCAAGTGTGTCTTCAGTGCATATTCGTTGGATTCTACTGAAGAGGCACCTTACTAGGGCTCTTTTGTACCGGACATGGCAGAAACTGTGATAATTAAGATACTGTCCTGTCCAGGTAGGTTTTCTATAAACAGATCGCTTTATTGACCTACCAAGCCGTCGACTAAGTAATATGTCTAGGAAAGATAAACAATTATCTTCCTCTTCTACAGACGTAAGCGATATGCTATTCTGAACTTCATTCATTCGATTTAAAATTGAGGTGGCAGAACAAGGCTTATTACTTAAGATTACAATGTCATCTACATACCTTCTATAAAGTGGCACATTTTCGATTAAATTCTCCGATAAACTCTCAATGTACGACATATAGAAATCTGATAAAAGGGGCCCTAACGGACTTACCATAACAACACCATCAACCTGGCGGAAACAATCGCCTTCAAATGTAAACCTATCATTGCTAGTACATAGAAGTAATAAATCCCTTAAATAAGATGTAGGGAAAGCAATGAAAAAATAGTGTGTGGAAATGTAATCACACACATAAATCAGACGCCTAGATAGATATTAAAGCCGTTTATTTAATTGGTTTCATATGAAATAAAATGCAGATTTATACCCAATTTCGTCAACCATACAATTATTAACTGGAAGTGCTACTTCTTGAACTCCGAGTCCCAACAGATAGAATAGAGTTCAAACCTGTGATCCACCGGTTAAAAGTTAACTATCTTAGTGACGAAATAACACTGCCACTCTCTATATATATCGTACATAGTTAAGTCAATTATTTTTATCGTCATCAATCGGTGAACATGTAAACATCCTAAATAATTGAAAACAAAGTGACCATGTTCACAAAAGCCATACTATTAGTTGAATCATTTGCCCAGATGCTGCCTTTCCGAATTCTAACCTGATAGGTCGGTCGGTTTTCGACATAGAACTTTGCACATATGTGCGGCAGTTCAAGTCGCCACACTATATGTAACATACAAAGAAAGAGAAGAAAGTAGGAGAAATGCATAATATAGACAGTAAACAGAGGTGTGAGACAAAGGAATAGTAATAACGAAGAACAAAACAGTTTAATTGGAAATCATAAGTCACAAGGAGTGGATGCATCTGCGCCACTGAGAACGATTTTGAGCCATGTCACCAATTGTTTCCAACCATTGGTTTTTACCGTCCCGGGGACCCCAACCAGGAAGTCTACATCTTCCTACGTGGCTTAGACTAACTGTTGTGGATTTCATTGACTGGTGCCATGTCTTCGTTTGACCGCTGCTAGCTCTTTTCCAGCATGACCCTATGTCAGCTAACATTGCTCGTCGGTCGAGGAAGGCGATGACTAGGCATAAGTAATACATGTCCTAACCATCTCAGTCGATGTAGTTTCACAGTTTCGTCGATTGATTTCCCCGCCTTACCTAGCACTCGACACCTAACCTCAATATTGCTCACCTTATTATACCACTTCACGCGGGAGATAGAACGCAGACACCTATGATCGAAGACAGCTAATCTTTTCATGTCTTCCACTTTCCACGACAATGTCTCACAGTCATAAACGAAGAAGACAGAGCGAACTGCTGAGCATTACACACGCCCTTTGTTCGATGGCTGGATATCACATCTACGCCAGAGATGGCGTAAACTGGCATATGCGAAACTAGCCCTCTGTATTCGTGTTGAGATTTCGTCAGCGATCAACCCGTTGGGGCTGATGGGGTATCAATTATTTTAGTTAGTATTGAATGATTCGTCTTCTCACATAAGTTTGTGTATATCAAACATTTATTTATTACATACGTATATATATATTTACTATTTAATTTAGCTGAAGTATAAACTCAAAGATACGAATATACCTATGCCATTATTTCGTGGAGATGATGGATCGTGTGAATGGATAGCTGTTGATATGAGTAAGTGAAAATCTTTGGAATTTACTTCACTACTATAAAACACTTTTATATATATTCTGTTGTACAGCATCATCAGTCACTTTACATCTAATAATTTTAGATTATCATAACGTTAAAAACTTAGCTAGATTTAAACTGTTAACCCTACTAATTTAAATAATTTAGGAAGAACTCAGCTATTGCAATAAATTCACTTGCATGTAATCACACAATAGGGTGAGGATAGAATAAACGTATTAAAAAAGGAATATAGTTAGGTAAGGAGAGATTAATCATTGAGCGTTTGTTCGTTAAATCAACACCCAATACATACAGTCGAATTGATACAACTCTAATATCTGATATATGGAGAATCACAAAAAACCCCAGTAAGGACTAAGGTTATATAAAGCAAGTCGTGCGAATACACTGATATTGTGGTGAGAGCTGTCTACTAGCCAAATTGGTAGACAGTAATTTACGTTTCCAAGATTTGTCGTGAGAAACAACCAATCGGAAGACTGTGTTTGTTTGTTTACATATCCATAGTAATGTACATGAAGTCGTGAGAAACAACCAATCGGAAGACTGTGTTTGTTTGTTTACATATCCATAGTAATGTACATGAAAACATATATAAATATGCGTTGATTTCCTCAATAAATGATCTGTTGCCTGACTCTTGCCTTCTGTCGTTACAATATAATTATGTCCAATATATTGTGCTCGAGACGTCAATCCCTTATTAACGTTATTTCACTCTGTGTGTGTTGTGCCAAATAAACTTATCGAATATGATATTATATTCTACCATAGTGTCCAAATTGTACTATTACATGAAGTCCAAAAATACTCACTGTTAGATCCATCGGGTAATATCAATCTGCTGGTGTTGTATTCTCGGACATTCGTATGTGTGCATTACAGAAAGATCTCAAATTAGAACTAACAAACTGCCTCAGTATTCTTTGATGTTGAGTGATTCTTTAGTCTACGTAGATCTTGTTATACTATCTAGATATAATTAGCATTGCCAGCTGTTACAAGTATAACCTGGATTACTTCTTAATCCACTTTCTTGTCTGTATTTGATAATGCTAAACATCCACTGCAGTTAATTAAATGAGTATGTCAGTCTGAAAAGGTAGAATAGTATTCAAAACAGAGAGATATAGCATACTATCGTGAATTATAATTGATGTTTACCCAAGGAGGAATTTATTGGTAGTCTTACTATTGATCATACTTACATCAGAAGCATTTGATAGAGTTTGCTTCAGCAAACCTGAAGGGAACTGAGATTTTTGTCTATTGATAATCTTATAGGAATTTGCGATTTCCACCGCATGACGTGTCAAGGAGATGTCTGGTAATGACACTATTGTAAGCGTTTGTTCGCTTGAGATGTAGGCTTTTCGATATATGTTCAGAAAATCGGAGGTGTGCCCTTCTTCCTGTTATCCCAATATAGCTGTTCCCTCAGTCCCTTTATTAGAAACCATCGACTTCATCTGTGAATCTCTTATAGAAAATGATATGGACGTAGGCATGTAACGACAGAAGACAAGGGCCAGGCAACAGATCGCTTATTGAGAAAATCAATAGGTATTTATAGATTTTCATGTACATTATTATTAGCGGAGAAGCAACCTCTTCTGATTGGTTGTTTTCTTGCTGAAGGTTATTCTGTTATCTTTTTGTGGCTGTTAATAAAAAAATTAAGCTATATATATGCGAATCATATTTCCACACGTTAACTCCGCTGTGATTTTCTAAAGGTAAAGCTTTGTTATTGTTTTTCTCATGATCCTTATTCGGGACGTGTACATTGACGTAATTTATTGACTACAATTTCGGCTTGCAGCCAGCTCTCACCACAGGAATATCCACTCAAACACTACGGTAACTGCTACTGTGGTGTACGAAGCAGTCTCAGTTTAACAACGGATTTTACCGTCAAGTGCAAGGCGTAGCTATGAGATCTCCTCTAGATCCTCTCTTGGCCGATATGTTGTTGGCAAAATTAGATAATCGTCCACTCAAAAACGCAATCAACGAACTCTCTTTCTACTATAGATATACGGACGACACTTATATCTTGCATAGTAATAAAATCGGTACCGAGGTCTTTCTCCAAATGTTCATTATGGCTCACCCACAAATTGAGTTCACATATGAAGAGGAGAAAGACAACACCTAATTATTTCTCGGTGTCCTACTAACAAAAAGGCAAGATGGCAGTATTAAAAGGGGGTATTTTCCGGAAGTCATAGGTTGGTCAATATACCCATTCAAGTCGTTTGTTCCTCTTGAATACAAACGAAATCTTATCAGTACCCTGATGTATAGTGCTAGAAAAATCTGCACAACCGACACTCTGGACGATGAAATAAAGACAATAGGAAACTTTTTATGTGAGAACGGATACCCCAAAAAATTTGTTAAAGTCTCCTTGAGGAGAACAGGAAGAAATGCCTGCAAACGGTGCGGAAGAAACGCACATACATGACTTAACCGTTTACGGGAGATGCAGCAACTGAATTGCTGGCATCGAAAATTAATAGCTAAAGCATTCTTCGCCGTAACATTGTGTTTAAAATTCGCCACTCGTTGTGTAATTCCAACGCAGGCGAAGGGTAAGCTACCGAGTTTTCCCACTTTGAGGTGCATCTATAAATTTAACTGTTCATGTGGAGACAGTTACATAGGTAGAACGAATTGGTGAGCCCATTAATGCCTTCTTGAGAACTGTCCAACGTGGTTAGGTAGAGGAGTCGTAAAGTCAGTCAGAAGTTCCACACTGGCACACTTAGTGGTTGCGGAGCTTTTACAATTTTATATATAAGATGACACCTCAGCTCCCTAGGTTGGTACGTCTTCGGTTGCTAAACATAGTTGAGACAGTTGGCATAACGATTTCTCAAACCTATCTCTGTGTTCAGAAAAAGTTTGTTCAATCTCTTCCCCTCACCTAGGATAGTTATCTCTCCCGGTGACACTGGATATTTGTAAATATTATCTTATATTTTTATTTTATTTGTAATGCAAACTACTTTATCAATGTCACGCTGTGCTGTAGTTGTACATTTTATTCTCCGTTTCACCACAATTTATTATCATTATTATACTATCTAATCGCTATGTGACAATGGTTATTTTCCCCACCATCCCTACTACCATGCACATTCTACCTATACACTCATCGTTGCCTAGATTATATAAACACTTGGATGAATTTATTCTTGTTACTACTATTATTATTGTAATTATTCACATTCCTGCATTCTGATCCCATATTTCATTATGCAAATGAATTGTTCGCATCCTTCCCTGTGTAAGCATCTCAGTATTGAGATATGAAGGCAGATATCAAGTTAACGATTACTACCCGGTGATATAAACTCTAGTTATCATAGTGTGACTCACTGTTTGGAAGTTAAACACATGAAAACCTTTTGAACAGAATTATTTATAATGTCGCTATAGTGACTTCATCATTCTCACTCAAATAGAAAATGTGACGTGAGGATTTTCCTTCTTTATTTTTTCCAGGTACAATTTTCCTCCATCTGTTTATGCCTTCTACCAGATTAAAATATGATTTAGAATCTCTTTGGTCCGCTGGTCCACAGTATGATGAACAATTGATGAAGAAAGCTAAACTGGAGCTACCGAATAAATTTAACTGGGAGGAATTACTTTCTGAAATACAACAAGTAAAGCAATCCTAAGGATGGTGAAAAAAACATGATTTATCAAACTGTACATAAATGTGTGTACGATAATCACCTTATAAGGTGTGTATATATAGTTTTAAAAAAAATAATTATTATTATACAGAATAGAATTTTCAGCGTTTTTATACATACGGCAACAATTTACTTCCTTTCATAAATATGTACATACATGAAATTTAAAATAGTAGTAATAATAATAATATTAATAATGAAACCTCTGTAAACAGAATGTTGATGGAAACATAATGAACTATAAATAGATAATAATATGCAATAATAATCTTTGCTTATACTTTGCAGTTCAGTTACTGATTTAAAAAGTTCATAAGTTCTTTTCTGACTCCTCACACAAGACCCCTGCGGATTACGGTATGGTAGGATTAATATTTAGTAGCCGTACGAGCGTAAATTCATAAGAGAGAGAGAGAGATTGTACTTTATTTTTATAATGGATGTGTTGACATGAAATCAAATCGTGACCGCCCGCTAGAAGACACTGCTGGGGACAACATAAATTCCATTGACGAGGAGGAGGATGTTGATAACATTTTCGTCTTGTGAATAAAGTTTTTGATCGCTTTCTGTGGGAACAAAAGAAACAGTTTGATAATCATATGAATATATATATATATATATATATATATACAACAAATATTTTTTGCAAGCGTTGCTTTGCAGGGACTTGATTGATTTCAAGTTTGACTACGTCCTGACATCAGTTAGCGAAATACTGAATGGATAACAAGGTCACTTTGTAACCTGAAGGCCCTGGGTTCGATCACCAGTGGGTCATGGATGTATACTGCTGAACAGTTCTAAACTAGGACTAAACAACTGTCCAGTAATCCCTGGTTCTCATGAATGTCTAACGGAAGTGAATTTGTGATAAAAACTTGACACAGTCATGAAATTATAATTAGACATGATCAAATATCGAAGTTGCGGGGGAACCAAACAATAAATACATAAAGTACTGAAGGAACCTGTGGCGTGTGCTACGGACACGATTTATGAGGAGTATATAGATGCAGACTGACAGGAAGCGGCTAAAATTAAAATCAACATTTTCAGTCAATGGCTGCAGACGTAGAAGTGTTTATTCCTCAAATATGGGTCAAGTTCACGTTGTGGCCAGGAAATAATCACACTGGATAACTTTTCATCCCATTGTTTAACCTTGGGCCAACTGCCAACCAATCAGGACAGTTTATTGTCCACTGACCTAGCCGACTTTTAATGTATATCTTAAAATGTATAAATATGATGTGTTTTTCCTTAATGAATATAGTTCGTTCCCAATACCCTTAGCTTCTGCTGTTACAAACCTAATATCCATGAGTTTGTGACTACACAGAAAAATGCGTGAGTAGAAAAAAATGATTATACATAAGATAAGGTTAGGGACTAAACGAAGAAATCTTATCACCTAAGGATGCAGATTTTTTTCTCAATGAATCGGGGGATTTTTCTGAGATAGAACATACTACTGACTTGTATGAGTAGTCGGGAGTCATTCATGTAAGTCAGATAGAAATGCCCTACTTTGTATGTCACATGTACATCGTTTCATGGTTTTATGCAGATGAAACTCTAAGTCTTCAATCAATTGATTGTACTCTTGGATCCAATATCACTAGCCGATTAATTCAGTCATCAAAAAGCCGAGGGACACCACACATATGATCGAATAATACCAATAGACACAAAAAGTGGCTCTCATGAGCCACGAAGACAACACGCTCAGACACTGAATACTATGAGTGTTGGGGTCGCAGATACATTCAACTGATGCATTCCAAACAGGACAGCATGCGTGTCCTTCAAGTAAAAATAGAGAAGACAGAGGTGATGAAGATACCTAACCAACAAAAACAAGCATCAATTATCATCAATGGGAGAAACCTACAGGAATTCACCTCTTTCACTTAATGAAACAGCATCGTTTCAACTCTAGGTATCACGGATGAGGATGTGAAAGCCAGTCAAGATCGGAAGAGCAAGACGGAACTTTATTCCCCCTGAAACCAGTGTCGAAATCTACCGCATACAGCATAAGGAACAATGTCTGGGACTTCAACACTTATATGAAGTCAGTGCTTCTATATGGTTGAGAGACTCGGTACGCGAGTCACTGAAAGCTCTTTCAAATGACTACCGCAGACTTCCATCAACAACCACCTTCGCTGACTCCATATTGAAGGTCATGTAGCCGGCTATAGAGGATTAGCAAAAAAGGACTCTTTCAAAAAGCTGCCAAGAACCTATTGTCCAACAAATATTATGAGGAAAATGGAGATGGACTGAACATTCACGAAAGAGACCGTTGAGTGACATCAGTCGAGTAAAAGACGAATGAGAAACGACAAATTGGGTGTCTGAGGGTGACACGGTGGAAATCGTGTGAAGAGGAGATGAAAACTTGTAGACAATCGTGGAGCCAGCTACGGAAGACTGCAGGGAACAGGATGAAATGGAGATGTGCTGTTGATGCCGTATGTCCCACCCGGAATCCACGGTAGTATTAATAATAATAATAATTGTAAGGGACTAGAAAACATTTCTTCTACTTTCCAGTGGTTTGCCTTCGTACATGGTGTAATAAATTAAGAGTCGAAGACGAGATCTTCGACATTGTTAACCCCAATTTTTAGGTGTCAGCTTATTTGGCGTTATGTTACCTTCAAATATATCTGCTTATATGTCAAGAATTGGATTAAAATACTCATCAGATAGAGGAAATGTCTGTTTTTAGAAGAGTTATTAAACATCCTGGATGTAGGTCATTTTGATCAGCTTAAACACATAACTTTTCATTTTACTATTACACAAAGATATATCAGATTGCTGAATGCTAAAGAAGAATGAGAAATTTATGCGCACAAAAAGTATATATATATATATATATATATATGAATCAAGCTTACCACTATTCTCAAGTCTACTCTATCTTGTGTAGTACACCAACGTTTGCATGCTGACGGTCGCATTCGAAGTAAAAAGTCAGCACCGCCTACAACTAGTAAATCAAAAGTTGATGGAATTGAATAATTATCAGTAGATCCATTAGAAATTGGATATTTCGATTTATGACCATATTCTATATTCATTGAATTAACTCCATTTCGACAGAGTACTTGAGATTGTCGAGCAGCCAGTAACTTTTTACGGAACTCCAAGGCTTCTTTATACCCACCAAGTCGACTACCAGCTCCTAGAATAAATAGTATTGGCAAGGAAGGTATCGATAAAAGAGGATCATTCATTTCCCCTCGCATACCCCTCAGTCCAAGTAATGGTACACCAAGACAAATAATTCCACCTATACTTGTTCGATTTCCAGCTAAATGGGAATCCAGAGACAGTATGTGTATAGCAGACAACAGCATTAGTAAAGTTCCGACGCCAAAACCAACAAGATAAACAGACTCGTTTTTACATTCATCTAGCTGAAAATATTTAAAAAAAATAGTTGGTAGAAATCATAAGTGTTAGCAAATTTATTCAAGTTACAGAATGGTTTCTAAAAGAAAATTACAGATCTGTAATTCAGGGTTATTAACGACTGATCTAACGAATGAGAGTTTTCTAATCTGTTAAATTATTCTATTTTGTTAGTTATATTCATCACTGTGAGTTGATTGGGTACAGCTAACTGACGGTACTCTTGAAAAAGCTGGCAGTTAACCACCTGCACATTGATAAAGGTTTCAGAGCTTAAGAATTTTTCAAAGTGTATATCTCCTCACGCTCATTTTCATCTTATGGGGATATGTGGCTCATTAGCTTGAGTACTCGGCTTTCAGTCGATTGGTCACGAGTTCGAGTTCCTCTTCAACTAATTCAGCTTGGGCAGCTGATTAGTATCATCAGCCTTCATACAATAAGTGTGGCTTTTAGTCTGGTGTACATGAAAATTCTGTTCTGGGTAATTGAGAATACATAGCAGCAACTTGTGTTGACGGACTGACTGACTGGTTTCAACGTAGGACTTTTCACAGATGTGCAGCAGTTCAAGCTGCCACTCTTCCTCGATGTAGTACACAATGCAAGAGAAGAGAGTAAATAGAGAATCAAAAGCAAGAGAGATAATAAACAAAAATATGAGGTGAAACGAATAACAATATGGAAGAACTATAGAATTTTATTGGAGTGAATGCACAAACGCTGGCCATCAAGAACGATTTTGAACCATATCACCAACTGTCTCCAGCCTTCATTGGTTCTTACATCCTGAGGACTACAACCAGTCAGGAAGTCTACACCTTCCTACGTGGCTTAAACTAACTGTTGCGGATTTCATTGACTGATGCCAAGTTTTGGTTTGACCACTACTGGCTCTTTTCCAGCCTGATCAATCTTATGTCAGCTGACATTGGCCATTGAGGAAGGCAATGGATAGGCATGCGTAACACATATCGTAACCATCTCAATCGGTGTGACTTCACAACCTCGTCTACTGATTCCCCCCCCCCCCTTTACCTAGCACTCGAACGATGCCCAACCTCAATATTGCTCACCCTATCATACCACTTAACAAGGGAGATAGAAAGTTGGCGCCTGTGATCAAAGACAATTAGCCTTTTCATTTCTTCTACTTTCAATGACCATGTCTCGCTCACAGTCATAAAGGAGGACGCACCTTTTGGTCTACAGCTGGATATCATGTCTACCAAGTCAGAGAAGGCGTAAGTCGGCACATGCCAAGCGAGTCTTCTGTATCCGTGCTGAGATTCCGTCAGCGATCAACCCACTGGGGCTGGCTATTGCAACGTTCCAGATAAGTGAAGTGGTCAACATGCTCCGCCAACCACTTCACTCCTTATCTTTAAGCTAAGAAACAGTTGAAGTTGTCACAACCCACATACAGTGCGCACAAAGGTAAAGAAAAGAAAGAAAAATGAGAATCACCAAAAGAACTATAATGAATAGAAATATACAGCAGAAAGAATAGTAACATGGAAAAGATGCGGACATAACGGATCTGGGAGTGCACGCTTCTGCGCCATCGAGAACAGTTTTGAGATATATCACCAACAGTCTCAAGCCATTGGCTCTTAGCTTTTGGTTTGACCACCCTTTTCCAAGCTAATCCATTGCTGGTCAAGGAAGGCAGTGCCTCCACACTCGTACATGAATCCTCGCCATTTTAATCGATGTAGACGTACAACCTCGTCGACTGAATTATCCTCCTTACCTAACGATCTACGCCTCACTTCAATATTACTCACCATATTCTAACTACTTAACACAGGAGACAGACATTAAACGTCTGTGGTTAATGTAGTTGACATAATCTTTGTATAGAATAGTTAAAAGTGTATTTTTGGCTAAATTTTGCTATGCTTCCTGCAAAATACAGTTTCTAAGGTCGAAAGATTGACAATAATATGAGTGACAAGAAAATGTAGGCATCTAATATAAACTCTTTATTTAATATGCTGAACTTTAATTAACTCCACTGAAGACTGTTGATATTCTTTGTGTTTACACATCTTGTAGTATTGAGTCGAAGAAAGGACGGCTTAATAAAACTGTCGATTTATAAAAAGTCTGCTGGGACAGGACAGTATTTATATTCTCGTAGTTTCTGTCCATTATAATACAGGAGACAGGACTGGTTAAATGCCTATTTATGCGGATTCAGTGTATCTTTACAACTGATACAATCGTCAAAGATGGATATTCTTTTATATTTTTGAACCAGTTAAAATGACAGTTAACTTGTAAAGAAAACAGTTTATGCTGTCCCAGAGAAAGATGTTTAAATCACCTTACCTTACCCATAAACAATCTGTTACAGCCAAGCATGGGTAAACTTCCGTCTTCCTATAGAAATGTTCTCATGTGGCTACGCGTTCATGGCCTCTACTACGTAAGTCTTATCACGTCTTCAAGCAGTGGGATGTTCCTTACCATAGTGAAATGGAGAATGAGAACAACTAGCGCTTACAACCGGATCGGTGGACATGCTAGTCTACCTAGCAGAGCCGTAAAAACCTGATTTCAAACCTATGGTATACATGGGCTCCAGAATCACAAAGGATCCAACGGCGTATGAACCTGTTTTGGTTACTATAAACCGTGGGAACACAGCCCCTGACGCTGCTTCACTGCCTTGTGAATCAGACTTCAAGTCAAAGGCTTAAGAGTGACCCCTTAAGACAACCATCTGGTTTGGTCTGGGCATCCGGGCAGATTCTCAGCCCTCACACGTTTCTTAGTGCCTATAAAATAGAGTTTTTGTTCTAATGGGATAAAATAAAAAATACACAAAAGATTTAAATGTCAAACGAATTATCATAATTGAAAATTAGTCAAACTGCTTACCACACCGATAACACGTCGAACGAACAATCGAAGACGAAGTCTCATACTATCACACATCTGTTCATCTTGACTTTCTAAATTAACTCGTCCAATTTCTCCGAGTAAATTGAGTAACTTTCGTAGTCTTCTGCTGTCACGAGGTGCCGGGAATGTCATGCACACTAGAACTATCTCATCATTTGATGTGGAACGATTAAAAGATATCGGATGAATAGGTTTAATGATAGTTGGTTTTGAAGACGATTGTAACTATGATGATTGGAAGAAGAAGAATAATACCTAAGTGATCAGTGACTTCATCAAATAAGCTAGAAAAGGGGCAAAGTTAAATTTCAGACACTCACCAGGTGTGAACGCATCAGCAGTCTTGGAACGCTCAGCTAGAGCAAGGCAGTGAAACCAGGTAAATAACACTACATTTTTGAAAGTGCTGAGCAAAGTTTAGTGATATAAAACAGGATATCTGGTTAGTTTTAGGCTAGGCTGGGGAAAGGTTAAGGTTAGGTTTACGCCAAAGAGAGGTTAGGGTTAGATTGACGTAGTTAGTGATATATATATATTATTGTATTTTCCTAACTAGTCTACGTGATGGGTTTGACAAAGCTAAGTATTAGTGATGTTGATCTGAAAGGGAAGCGTGTCCTTATTCGGTAAGTAAGATGGTTTGATGAGTAGTGACTTTTTCTCCTTACAGTGTCGACTTTAATGTACGCATGAAGGATGGTAAAGTCACTAATACACAGAGGTGGGATGTTTTTTGTTGCTTTACCTTACATTGTTGTAGGATCTCTGCAGTCATACCGACAATTAAGTATGCTTTGGATAAAGGCGCTAAAAGCGTTGTGCTGATGTCGCATCTTGGTCGTCCAGATGGCAACAAAGTTGATAAATATTCCTTGAAACCTGTGTGCCCTGAAGTTTCTAAACTTTTGCGCAAGGAAGTTACCTTCCTTCCTGACTGCGTCGGTCCTGAAGTAGTGAAAGCTTGTGCAGATCCACCTACTGGGGCTGTATTTTTGTTGGAGAGCTTACGCTTTCACGTGGAGGAGGAAGGAAAAGGTGTTTCACCCACTGGCGAAAAAGTTAGTATGCATTGCGATTCTTAGTTCGCAAATCATTTAGGCTCATATAGTCACTTGTATACGTTTTTGAGCAAGTTTGCACACTTTTTTGGATGATCTGGACGTTATGAGATTGTGCCTGATCTGTGTAACCTAGCTCGTTGTAAACCACCAGGTCGTCCGGAGTTCTCTTCGTAGGAATTCTTTTGAAGGAGTTATCCTTAAAGTCTCACGATATTTCATATTTGAGCTCCTGTTGTTTATTTGGGTTCCCACCATGTTAGTGTTGTTCATATTTGCATAAGTGTCGGTGGCACAGCGGTTAGAACTCTCACCGACCATGCACATGGTCCGGCGTTCGATCCCCTGCCGACGCACAACTGATATCAATGGTCGGCCTGCAAAATTTGGGCTACCGATATCACATGCTGAAAATTCCATACTTGTACCAAAAATACGGTGTGGTTTCAAGCTATAATCAAAATTCTAAAAAATTAGGGTTGTTAATTCTTTTCTTGTCTGTCCTTTGCTTTTCTTTCTTTTTTGTATAACCCTATATTACTTACCATTAGTACGTAGTACAAACATACTTTTTACTTCTTAAACACGACTTTGTTTGCTACGAAGTTAAACTCAGTGTAATAATGCTCTATTTGGTGTATAGTAGCTAATATCTTATAGTTGAACATTATCTGCTGTATAAGCTTTATTTATGTACTCGTTACTGTTGAACATTGTTTATTCGTATCCCTTTGTTCGCACTCTGTTTAAATAACACGTTGACACAGCTTTGCTGTTTTTGCCTACTGATACACATTGACTGTGCTTTTTTGACAGCATTCAGCTACAGACACCTCATAATTGAGGTTTGTATATTATATTTCATATTTTATGTTTAATATAGTACCGTAGATTTGTAGCCTCACTCCGAACCTTCCCTCTTTACCGGGTTTATTACGGGCAAAGCGAGGTTTGGGAATGCGTCGGATGGGGATTGTATCTCGGACAACGTGCGTCGTTAGCGAGTATTCCTACCAGTGAATTACTAACGCCCAAAACTTTACGACGCAATAAATTTAACTCGGGTTCATTACCGCGACTAGTTTAGAATGTGCTATTACTAGTTACGAAATCCATACGGCATTAGATTGAATCAAAACAGTGTGATTTTATTTAAACCTGAATTAGAACCAACCGGTTAGGTTCGAGAGAATATCATGGAAATCATATAAGGAGCAAACAAAAGTTTCTGGGAAATCAATAAGCCCACATCAGAAACTCCACACCAAAGAGTAAAGCGCACATCTGCTCCTGAAGCCCTACGTTTCAATTGGAACACAATGGAATAATAAATGTAAAAAAACGTCATTTAGTGGTTTCAATGCACAACTGGTCCCAAATCACCAAATTTTAAAATAGGGAATCATAATGGGACGATCCCAGTGCAGAAAAACTTACTTTTCGACGAAGTTATCAACTAGGCTGTACATTTGTGTATTTATAATAAATGGGTGGGAAAGTGCCAAAATAGTATCCGGTCAGTGGGTCAAATTAATAAAATTACAATTAGTAATTAAAATGCCAGAATAAACATGGGGACAAATAAAACCCAAACAAAGTAGCATCATAATTATTGGGAAGATTGACATATTGTGCAACCAGGGGTTAGAAATGTAGAAATAACAAAATAGACAGGATGGTCGGATAAAAAAGCTAGTGGGATCATAACTAGTGTGACGAATAATTGTTTATGCAGTTAGGGGTTAAATATGCAGCAATAATAGAATGATAGAATAGGCAGGAAATTCGGATATGAAAATATGGCAGTGTAAATAGGGTTAAAGAAAAACTTGAAAATAACATGAATAAAAAGGAAGTTTGGATAAGAAAGGCAATGGGATGGTCATTACTAAAAGAATTACCAGTTTATGATGCCCATGGCGGGGTCAAGGGTTGGACGTATTTCTTTTGGATACATAGCGTGGGTTTGAGCTTTTGGATGACTAGTGCCTCCGCTATGCCCAGATGTCTTAATTTTATTCCCTTTGATAGGTTTGATCGAATCTTGAAGGATTTTTCGAAAGGCGCTGAATGTCCAGATTTTATGTCACTGAACTTTATTCACATTTTCGCTCTCCTTTTACTAGCCATGTTGGATAGTGTTCATGAAGGCGTCTTGCAAGTTGGCGCATGGTACGGCCGATGTACTGAGCTCTGCACGATCAAGTGAACTGGTATATGCACGTTGAAGTGGCCCAGTGCGACAGCTTGTCTTTCGCGTTCTGACTGAACAGTTTCTTGCAGGAAAACGTCATTCGTAGGCTTGCGGAGAAGTATGTTTTCCTCAGAGATTTGCAAAGGTGCTTCCGAAGGATTTCTACTTCATTCAGTGTCACCTTTGAATTATAGATTAGGCAAAGGCATCTTCTTCGGGACGGATTGGACTTGTTCAGAAGTCCTTATTCAGACAGCTCTTTCAGGAGCGAAGCATGAAAACACAAAAGCATCCTGGAAACATCTGAGACGAATCCATTATCTCCCAATTCACGTACGCTGAGACGATACCCAGAATCACATTGATGCCGACCGATCCAGACTAGCTGAACTGGAACAGAATGTCTCAATGAGCTCCTACGTTCTCTACGACTTGGCTGTTGATGAGCGTACGTCATTCGAGCACTACGCCGATATAGTTACAGAGAAAAGAAAAGATGATATCATCACGAAACTTAAGCAGAGCCTAAAATGCGTCACCAAGGAAACAGCTTTCCCATCTTGTCCTGAGAAACATGTATTCAATTATTCTGATGTCTCACTTTCGCCGATTCAAATGTAACTCTTGTCGCTGGACCGAAGTTTTCTGATGCAGCGTCAAAAGTAAACGACTTGAATACTAAAGACGAATTTGATTACTCCGACGAATGATCTGGTCCCAATCTCATATGACAGTGCTGAACATTTCAAATCAACTATTTTGAGTTCCTGCCCCGATTACATCAACAAAAAACCTTATTTTCGTAATATATGCGAGTGAATCATATCTAATATTGGGCGGAGTGGGATGTCCTATTTGTGTACTTTGGGTAGTCCATACATTCCTGGCGATTTAGAACCAGATGGGTGAAGTTGTTCATATATTTCTGTATTAATAATTCACTCATTTTTCATTTTTTTTCAGTAATTTGGTTAGCTGGAGCTCCATCTGTTCAGTTGTATCTTTCTGAGTCGTCTGTTTTTGAAATTTGTTGTCATCAGATGGAATTAGCGAGAGTTTCTTCAAATAATCTAACTTGTTGAGCAGAACAAATCCAGAACCTTTGTCTGGTTGAGTTATTATCAGGTTTTCATTTGATTTACATTCTTCGGGTTGATTTCGATGTTCCTTTGAGAGTACATTACGAAGACATCGACCGGCAAAAAGTCCTCAGTGAACATAGACTTTTCGACCTCATGCTATCCCATAATGGTCTAGAATTCAGAATATCTACTTTTAAGACTTCTGTGCTTAAAATAATACGGTGTTTAGCAGAATATCACTGCATCAATCCCAATAAGATAGAACGTTTTGTTGACATATTTAAAAAACACTCGAAAAGCCTATGAAGGGTGAACAGCAGACAATGCAGATAAAACTGGACAGCGAATTTCGGCTGAGAGCAAGAATCGTGAGATAATTAGATATAAACGTAACGTGTAATTTGACAACAATATCAACCAATAAAAGCTGAGACTCCCGACAGCAACACGACTAAGGAGATGGAAGGTGAATTTTGTACAACAAAGGATATTTTATATAATGTAAAACATACTACTTACTGGATCTTGTTTTGTACTATCCTTAGATACATCAGCATCATCGTTAGATAACTGTAAACTGGACAAGAATTGATCGACTGCTGTATCATCTGCATATCGTTCTTTTAGCATTGAGTTAAGAACTTTCAATAATGGATTAACCTTTAACAAATAAATAATAATAACAATAAGTGCTGATCAGTGCAATATAATGCATCAGTGGTTTAGTGTTAGGATGCTTGTCAGTCACGCACGTGGTCCGGTTTCAGTTCCTGGCTGACACAGTCCTAAACCCTGTTTTGGAGGTAGCAAACCCAGTAAAGATGGAAGGTTGGGAGTGAGGCTAACAACCCCACCCCCTAAAAGACGACATTACCGCTAAGGAAACTTCAAAGCTGAAACATGAAGCTCTATATCTAACTCGGAACACAAAAGAATGAGAAAATCCAAATCTAGGATGGGTGCATTTTATAGAGTGTGATATTTTTAAAATTACTGGGGAGTAGGAATCATTTAAAAAGATTTATGGTACGACACTGGGCTATGTACATTTCATCATTAAAACAACTTCGTCACTGCTAAAGTACATGCTGGAATGGCATAATAATAATAATGGCTTTATTCCAAACAGTAATTTTGATACAATGTGGAATTTTCAACACGTAATACAATATCGCATCTAATTTTCTCTTTAAATTACATAGTAAACGGGGAAATAATCAACAGTTCATCTACACTGATAATACTGTTCAACACGAATATGAACATAAATTTAAGTGAAAATATTAACAACGATATATTAATGAAAGAAAAAAAAAAAAGAGTCGTTTACTAAGTGTTTTGCACTAAGTTAGTGGTATCATGCCTTACACTTTTCCCATCACATAAGATGTGTGCCGAATAAGGTACCGTAGAGTTTATATACTTTCCCGCCAAATGTAAGATGATGTTACAGGAGTGGACCACATTGACTCCTGGATTAGAAATAGGGAGTGAAGTGGTAGAGCACGTTGACCGCCTCACTTGTTTGGGAAGTTGCATCAGCCCCAACGGGTTGATCTCTGACGAAATCTCAGCACGGATACAAAGGGCTCGTTTCGCATGTGCCAGTTTACGCCGTCTCTGGCGTAGACGTGATATCCGGCTGGCGACAAAAAGGCGGGTGTGCTGCTCAGCAGTACGTTTCGTCCTCCTCTATGGCTGTGAGACCTGGCTATTGAGAGTGGCAGACATGAAAAGGCTAGTTGTCTTTGATCATAGGTGCCTGCGTTCTATCTCCTGTGTTAAGTGGTATAATAGGGTGACCAATATTGAGGATAGGAGTTGGTCAAGTGCTAGGTAGGCGGGAGGGGAAATCAATAGACGAGGTTGTGAAGTCACACCGATTGAGATGGTTAGGACATGTGTTACGTATGCCTAGTCATCGCCTTCCTCGACCGACGAGCAATGTTAGCTGACATAGGGTCAGGCTGGAAAAGAGCTAGCAGCGGTCAAACCAAAACATGGCACCAGCCAATGAAACACATAACAGTTAGTTTAAGCCAGCTACGTAGAAGTGTGTAGACTTCCTGGTTGGGGTCCTCGGGACGGTAAAAACCAATAGCTGGAGACAATCGGTGATATGGCTCAAAATCGTTCTCAATGGCTGGCGCAGATGCATCCACTCCTTGTGACTTATAATACCCAATAAAACTATATTGTTCTTCGTTATTACTATTCCTTTTGTCTCATATCCCTGTCTATTGTCTCTATTTTGCGTTTCTTCTCTTGCTTTGTGTGCTACATGGAGTGTGGTGACTTGAACTGCTGCACATCGGTGCAAAGTTCTATGTTTAAAACAGACAGACAGAGTTTATATACTTAGCCGTCCGAGCATAAAGTCTTCCATAGTTGCTTCTAGTCCTACTTGATGAGGTGTGAAGAGTGAGTTGTGTATAGAAAGGATGCTCAGCAACCGACAGCAACATAATATGCGCTAATTTCTTCCATGAGCTCAAGTGTCTATCTACAACAGTATCAACAGGCTGGTTTAGCGACAGTCTGCTGACGGCTTTTAGTACCATTCTCAGTTTAAAAAAATCTTTTTTTTAAGTAGTTCAGGAAAGATTAATATAATGTTGTTGTGTGCATACGCTTATATCTGAAATCGGGGTTTACAGAATTCTGACCAAATTCTGGCCAAATCCTCATTTCCAATCAATCAGTAGTAATGTAGCCTTAATATTGGCCTCTTTTAATGCTATTATAGAAGCCTAGCTATCACGAAACATTAATACTGTTTGCATTTCAATGCAATAATAATTGTTTTTCTTATTTCAGTTTCTTTTACATAAACTTACACAACATTTACACTGATAAAAACAAGGTTAGATAAATAGCCGATTTCATCTTAACAAAATACAAAAACAAAACTAGAATTACTTGCCTTGCTTTTCTGCCATAATAAAGAATAAACTACGCCATAGAGTGATAAAAGCTTTTGGGGAAGATTTTTGACACACCACAAATGAAGGCTGAAACATTTTTCGACATGCTAATGTAAATAAGGAAATAAGATAAAACTTTGAAAGAATGAGACGTTTAAGACTTGACAAGATAAAATATTATTGTAGAAAAATAACCTTGTTATCAATAATAATGCAACGTCTAAGGTTAAATCTTTCCACTCGCTGAATGAAATATTTTCTAAAAATCATGGTTTTTATGACATAGATAAGTTCCTTTAAATTTTTCAGGCAGCTTTACTCACTGACTGAATGATATTATCCAAAGCTCCTGTGAAGTCAGTTATATTGGCCGTATACATCGCACACCTTTCAAAAACACATCTCAGGAAACTATCAAGTAGGTGCCACGTCCTAGTTTAAATATCTACTGAGGTGCCCAACTACGATGCACTTCTGTTGAGTAAATTAGAGGCATACTCTGTAATGTGCGTTGTTGGTTCAATAGTAGAATTTTCACCAATCAGCCTACTGGTCCTGGTTCAATTCCCGGCTAGTGACGCACTCCTGAACCACACTCACTTTACTGACCAGTAATGAAGCCAGAAAAGAAGGAAGATTGTGGTATTGAAAGTCACACTAGTGAAACAATTAATCAACTCAATACCACTCAACAACAACTTGCAATTCCATGCAGTTCACAATGAGCCATACTTATCGTGAGAGGGCTAGTGATACTACCAAAGGCCGCCCAAACTTCAGTGCATGGGGCAGGAATGGAACTTGTGACTCACTGGTTAGCAGTCAAACGTCTAGGCCAATGAACCACAGCTGCAGAACAGTAACCAAACACGCAATAACCCGGGTAAGATAAGAAGTAAAATATTGACTATGAAGTAAACAGCATAGAAAACAGAAAGGTTAAATACATAAAGAAAATAAATAACCTGGAATATGTCTACAGATATTTGAAGAATTCACTGGTGCTAATTCATGACACGACGATGTTGCATTATACAATGTTTCTCCATGCATACATGACCACATTCGTCAATTTATCGTTAATTTCGCTTTTGGTGGTTCAAAAACATCTATTATAGTTAGTTCTCCATAATCATAGACATTGTAAACAAAATGAAGAAAGAATGGTTGTCTGCCGTAGTTTATTGGTTAGATTGCTTAAAATACTCCCGATATGTTTTTTGTATGCGATTAACACTCTAAATTGGGTGTTGGCGGCCTGTTTTTGAGCAACACAATAGGCTGTTAGTTCATACCGACAAGCGCTCACACAATATATACGGGCTATGTTTAGAAATTAAACACTATAGCTGTTCTCACCAAATTTTCGTTTTTTAGAAAGCGTTACTACCTTAACTCCGGATTTTCAACTCCAATGTGAAGTCAGTGCTACTATACGGATCAGAGACTTGCACTGCGCGTCATAAAGAGCATCTCAAACAAACTACAGACCTTCATTAACAGTTGTCTTCGCTCAATACTCAAGATCAGATGGCCGGCCAGAAAAGATCAACAACAGAGATCTCTGGGAGCGAACCAACCAGGAACCGATTGTGAAACAAATTGGCAGGAAAAAATGGAGATGGATTGGCCATACTCTGAGGAAACCATCAAGTGACATCACTAGACAAGCCATCGCTCGAGTGGAACTCGAAAGGGAAGCGGCGAGTTGGTCGTCAGTGCGAGGGTGACTTGGAGGAGGTCATGTGAAGAGGAGATGAAAACGTGTGGGCAGACTTGGAGCCAGGTGAAGACTCTAGCAGAGAACCGAACGCAATGGAGACGCACGGCTGAAGCCCTATGTTCCTCTAGGAATTAAAGGAAACAATAATAATAATATACTTTATCTTCAAGTGTGTCATATAGATTTTAAGAATAGATGTAACACATTTCTTCCTTTACATTAACAGTCGACTAAAAAGCGCAAAGGTCACCGCCAACTAGATCAGTACACAGAAAATCCACATCTGCGATCCAAATAAACAAGAACTCCCAAGTTCTTCGTCTAAAGGAAATTTCGGAGTAGATTACGACTGTATTTATGGTAGACCTCATCACTATGATCACGAATAAGTAACATAACGATTTAATTTCTGTGATATTATACTACAGTACTGTCCTTTTTGTAGAATAACGCAATGTAAAAGTATGTTTCATTACCACACAATTATTAACCAAGCAATACGGAACACAAAAGTAGAAGAATTGAACCAAACACAACATACCCAAGAAAGTTCGGCTAAAATTCTACGCAAGTTATTGGCAGCTCGATTAACACAAAGCTCCTTCTGACACTGTAAACGCTCACCGTCTGAAGACTGAAACCAATAAGCGGCAGGAGTTTACATGAAACAAACCTGAGAACTATAAAAGTGTTCAATTCTTATAATTTTTCTTAAAGATGATATAATTTTTAATAGGTGCTTCTTTTCACACGGAACCCATGTATGACAATCATCTATAATTTTAAGTATTACTAAGATAAATTATTATGTAACACTAACCTTTAGGTTGATCAAGATGAATATTTTCATTTAACTCTGGTTCAGAAGTGTATACACTATGTAGAATATCATCTTGACACACATTTTCTCCAATGGAATCTGCAGTACTAGGCCCACCGACGTCTAAAATACTTTCTTCTCTAGAATTGAGAAAATCACTGAAGAAATAATTATAAGAAAGTACTGTGAGTGATAAGATGACAAGTTAAATATTTCTTCGTCCTCATCACCTACAGTTTTGTTCACAAATGCGTAACAGTGATCTGATTGAATTGAACACCGAACTTTATCCAGTTGAAAAAAATCCATTATGAATTTAAAACCAGCTTTTAAAAGAACACATCATAGGGCGTTGGAATTTCTATGGGAAAATAGTTAAGTAGTAGTAGGAAGTTTATTAAATTAGCATTTTACAGTGTTTTACTTTTCAAAGGTTAACGCATAAAAAGCTTTGTCTTATACATATCTAACCGTTATCGGTTTGTAATAAAGAATATGATATATCACACTGTCAAAAAATTCTCCTTTCAAGATACGTTTATCTTAATACATGCACAACACCAGCACTGTCCAAGAGCGCAGTCAAACATCTTTTTAGCACTCTTCAATAAGTCAGTGAATCAAGTCTACATCTCCCAGACATAGCCATAGAAATGGTGTACTATATAAACGTACAACTCCACTACTGTCAAAGTTTATTTTCATGAAGTAGTAGAGTATTATACAGTAATATTTACTGATGATGTTTCGAGCACAATTTATTGCTCATAATCATATCAAGGTATTCACACAACTTTCTAACTTTGTTTATGTAATTCCATTATTTTTCATTGCTTGACTTGATTGGTAGTAGTATTTTCCATATTTCCGGTATGAGTGATGAGTCATTCCTATTGCACGTGTTGGGTGTAGATCCGATGAACAAGGATTCAGTAATCAACCTCTCTCTCCACCTACCTATATTACTTCTTAGAATTTTAACCCTCTCCCAGCCTATTGCGTGGTTGTATGTTGTTAATGCATGCAGTGCAATCGCTGAGCTTTTTTCTAAATTACTTATCTTCTCGGGGTCAACCATTCTTACCTTAGCTAAATTCTTATATTCCGACAATCTGACTACCCCCGACCTACTAGTTTGACCTATGTAGTTGACCTCACAGTCATTTCAAGGTATTTTGTAAATTATATTATTTTGTCTAATTGGATCAACTGGGTCCTTTAACCTACAGAGCTTGTCCCTGACTGAGTTTGTAAGTTTAAATGCCACCCTAATTCCTGCTTGATTAAGAATCCTACGTAGGGTCTCAGATGTCCCCTCCTTATGTGGTATAACTGTAGATGCCTTCTATTCTCTCTTATTTATGTTTTCCTCATTATTTTGAATTCGCTTTTGACCTTTTCTGATCTTCCTAATGAATTTTAAAGGATAGTTATTCAACACCAACGCCTCTTCTATCTGTTTTATTTCATCATTTAGGTCTTTTCTTGTACTACTTAGTGCTACTGCTCGGTTTGTTAGACACTTAACTAAACCTACTTCTACAGACAACGGATAAGATGAATTAAAGTCTAAATATCTATTAGCAGAATGCGTTGGTTTTTTATAAAGGCTGGTGTGAAAGTTTACCTTCTTCTATTCGTTTTATTTTGCAATCTAACAGCTAATTCTCCTTGTTCATTTTCCGATTCAAATATGAATTTTATTCCCTCTACTAGTGAGTTTATATGTGTCAGGAAGCTAGAGATATGTTCTGTTTTTAACACTGTGAAAGTGTCATCCACATATCTCCACCATATTTTTGGAGTAGGATTAAATGTATTTAGAGCAATATTTTCCCAGCTGTCCATAAATATGTCTGCTACGATAGGGGATATTGGTGATCCCATTGCTACACCTTCTGTTTGTCTATATATTTTGCCTTGAAATTTAAGGATAGTAGATGTCAGGCATAACTGAATTCCTAAAATAATTTCCTCAATGGGCAGCTTCGTTCCATGAGTAAGTTCAAGATCTGCAGTTATTTTAACTACTTATAAGGCCATATTGATTGGTATATTAGTATAAAGACTAGTTATATCGAAACTAACCATTGTTTCATCATTCTCTAGCTGAATGTCATTTAGTTTCTTCTTCATCTCATATGAATTAGTTAGTCTAGAGTTTGGACGATTTCTAATGGGGCATAATATTAGAGCTAAGTGTTTTGATAATTCATAAGTAGGGGTATTCTTGAAGTCTACTATTGGTCGTATGGGGTAACTTGGCTTATGTATTTTAATAGTACCATATATTCTACTTCGACAGCGTCGATCGAGAGGTGCTTTGGCAACTACTTCGCTACTATGGGGTGCCACCGACAATTATACATCTCACCCAACAGCTGTACGACAATGCTGCATGCCAAGTAATCCACAACGGGAAACTTACGGAATCCTTCGAAGTGAGGACAGGAGTAAGACAAGGCTGCCTACTATCGCCAATGATTTTCCTGATTGCAGTAGACTGGATAATGCAACAAACAGCGGGCAATGAGGAAACAGGCATAAAATGGACTCACACAAAAAACTTGGAGGATCTGGACTTCGCCGATGATATATGTCTGATTTCCCACAAACTGGAAGATATGGTTTCCTCAGAGTATGGCCAATCCATCTCCATTTCTCCCTGCCAATTTGTTTCACAATTGGTTCCTGATTGGTTCGCTCATTGTCAGAGATCTCTGTTGTTGATCTTTTCTGGCCGGCCATCTGATCTTGAGTATTGAGCGAAGACAACTGGCTGTTGATGAAGGTCTGTAGTTTGTTTGAGATGCTCTTTATGACGCGCAGTGCAAGTCTCTGATCCGTGTAGTAGCACTGACTTCACATTGGAGTTGAAAATCCGGATGTTATTTTTGATGCTGAGTGCTGTTGACCTCCACACAGACTTGAGAGTAGTGAAAGCTCGTCTTGCTTTTCCGATTCTTGCTTTGATATCCTCGTCAGTTCCGTCTGCCTGTAGTTGAAACGATGCTTCCCAGGTAGGTAAAAGAGGTTGTTTCTTTCAGGTTCCTCCCATTTATACTGATCGTTGTCTTTTATTTTTGTTCTTGTCCAGGAATCTTCATCACCTCTGTTTTCTCTATGTTCACCTGAAGGCCTATCTGTGATGCTTCTTCTGCTTTTCGCTTGCATATCTTCCAGTTTGTGGGAAATCAGACATATATCATCGGCGAAGTCCAGATCCTCCAAGTTTTTTGTGTGAGTCCATTTTATGCCTGTTTCCTCATTGCCCGCTGTTTGTTGCATTATCCAGTCTACTGCAATCAGGAAAATCATTGGCGATAGTAGGCAGCCTTGTCTTACTCCTGTCCTCACTTCGAAGGATTCCGTAAGTTTCCCGTTGTGGATTACTTGGCATGCAGCATTGTCGTACAGCTGTTGGGTGAGATGTATAATTGTCGGTGGCACCCCATAGTAGCGAAGTAGTTGCCAAAGCACCTCTCGATCGACGCTGTCGAAGTAGAATATATGGTACTATTAAAATACATAAGCCAAGTTACCCCATATAACCAATAGTAGACTTCAAGAATACCCCTACTTATGAATTATCAAAACAATTAGCTCTAATATTATGCCCCATTAGAAATCGTCCAAACTCTAGACTAACTAATTCATATGAGATGAAGAAGAAACTAAATGACATTCAGCTAGAGAATGATGAAACAATGGTTAGTTTCGATATAACTAGTCTTTATACTAATATACCAATCAATATGGCCTTATAAGTAGTTAAAATAACTGCAGATCTTGAACTTACTCATGGAACGAAGCTGCCCATTGAGGAAATTATTTTAGGAATTCAGTTATGCCTGACATCTACTATCCTTAAATTTCAAGGCAAAATCTATAGACAAACAGAAGGCGTAGCAATGGGATCACCAATATCCCCTATCGTAGCAGACATATTTATGGACAGCTGGGAAAATATTGCTCTGAATACACTTAATCCTACTCCAAAAATATGGTGGAGATATGTGGATGACACTTTCACAGTGTTAAAAACAGAACATATCTCTAGCTTCCTGACACATATAAACTCACTAGTAGAGGGAATAAAATTCATATTTGAATCGGAAAATGAACAAGGAGAATTAGCTGTTAGATTGCAAAATAAAACGAATAGAAGAAGGTAAACTTTCACACCAGCCTTTATAAAAAACCAACGCATTCTGCTAATAGATATTTAGACTTTAATTCATCTTATCCGTTGTCTGTAGAAGTAGGTTTAGTTAAGTGTCTAACAAACCGAGCAGTAGCACTAAGTAGTACAAGAAAAGACCTAAATGATGAAATAAAACAGATAGAAGAGGCGTTGGTGTTGAATAACTATCCTTTAAAATTCATTAGGAAGATCAGAAAAGGTCAAAAGCGAATTCAAAATAATGAGGAAAACATAAATAAGAGAGAATAGAAGGCATCTACAGTTATACCACATAAGGAGGGGACATCTGAGACCCTACGTAGGATTCTTAATCAAGCAGGAATTAGGGTGGCATTTAAACTTACAAACTCAGTCAGGGACAAGCTCTGTAGGTTAAAGGACCCAGTTGATCCAATTAGACAAAATAATATAATTTACAAAATACCTTGAAATGACTGTGAGGTCAACTACATAGGTCAAACTAGTAGGTCGGAGGTAGTCAGATTGTCGGAATATAAGAATTTAGCTAAGGTAAGAATGATTGACTAACCAGTCTTGTTTATCTGAAAGAGTGATGAAGATGCTTCTACAAATGTAGCACCTGAGGCTTTCGAAGTAGTTCGAGATAGCTGGACTCACCACACAGAGATTTGATATGGAAGTAGTGGTGGAATTTAATTCACCATCTAGGAAAATCAGGTTTCCCAAGCGGATATTTCACAAAATAGGTGTTCATCGATGAGAGGGGTAATGACACGTCATATTGATCACTTTTCTACAGTTTTCTACACGTTTTCTCCTTTCCAGTGAACATTGCGTTCACAGAGTAGTTGAATGTGGGATTTTGATGAAATTTACTATGTTATTTATGTGGAGCACACAAAATTTCTGCTATATATTACGGGCTTACCTGACCGGTTGCTCAAGGCATGAATCCGTTCATTAAGTACCTATGTTTTGGGCTGCTTCAGTTTAAAATCACCCAATTAGCTCCCTGAATTCAAACTACTTTCTCACACTACACTCATCAAGCACACTTCTTAGTTCATACACAACGGACAACCTTGAGTAGCGCATGAATTTGTACCCTCATCATACATTCAATAATCAGTCGAATATCCAATATCCTGATTACGAGCTAGAATAAACCAGTGATTTCTTTGAGCTCGCTTCTTGATTGTAAGGTAGATGTTCCAGATCTTCGGTGAACTTATGCGTAGTAAGTCACTCCACTCGACTGCTTTAACTCTGGTAGACTCCAAGAGTGGTGCGGGGATTGGTCAAAATGTGGTTTGTAGTATGCAGTATGTTAGGACAGTGCTGCTGCCGTGAATGGAGTTTGACCTAACTCCCGTTGGTCATTTGGTGTAGTCATAAAAGTCATCCAATTACTTTAGCTTATTCTTAAGTAGGTATAGATCAAACTTACTCCATGAAACCCGTTTTCAGGTTTTAATTTTGTGTAATAACTCGCTTGTCGTAGCCTTCGCAGACAACGTCGTGTGTGGATGATTGGTAATATGTGATCGGTAGTTTGCAATTTGCTTTATGACTGTGACACCAATGTGTTTCATGCTGACTCTTTCGCAAGTTATTCTTACTTCGTTTTAAAAAAATGAAAGGATGTTAGAACTATGAATAACAGTTAGCTTCAGAAAGGTGAACAATTGAATAAAACAACGAACAGATGAATGAATAAACATAGCAAACAGGAGACTGGAACAACGAACGTCATGAGGTTCCGAGAGAACTGAAGGTTTAAATCCACTGGGAGTCAGGATTACATCTAGTTTTCGCCAAGTCTGTTAACTATACACAACCCTTATAAATCTGTGTAGTTACTCAGCAGTCTTTCAAAACTTCTCACTGGTTGTGCTTTAACCACGGATACCAAAAATGTTTTAGGGAAGAGAAAACCTAAAAGCAAAGCACTTTCGGTTGCGCTAGACTTTTGGCCTTCTGCAGTGGTAAGTAATTTCACGAAGTGGATAGCCTACTGCCACATGATCATACAACATCGGATGCTGACCCTCTTTGTTTACGTGCACTTGTACACTGCAAGAACTCAGTCAACCGACTGTACCATTCAACAAACTTTTATGTCTGTTTTGGAGTTTCCACGCTATGTGCGGTTAGTCTATCACTTATACAGGCTTAACAACGTATATCCATAAGTTTATTTATAATTTTAGAAGACTGTATTGTGCTGAGTTGGTCTGCTTACTGTTTTCTGGTTCACGCATAATAAGTTTGCAGGATTACATTAGCGAACTGTGGTGTGACTACCTACCTACTCACAACAAGCTGTGACCAATAAGCCAGTAAAATAATCTGCACTCAAATAACGTGATTTTGACTCATAAATGAAGTAATATGATACAAGCTATGAAGCAAGCTGAAAACAGCTTACAGGATCGAGGGCTGCCAAAGTGACTCAAATAAGGCAGTGTAGCGGTTGAATACTCCTCACAATAATCAGCACACAGAATTTGTCACTCCGCACTGGGTGCTGACACTTCTTTTTAAGTCGACTCGTCTAGCTGAAGGCTCGTGGTCAAGCATATGTAGGCCTGTAGGAGACTGTCTAGCGATCTCAATAACATAACAAGTATGCGAATAAAAATCCAAGTTAATGAGATGACAGTGTAACAATATGCTATAAAAAATACAGTAATGCGTAATATTAATTAAACGGTTACTTGGATATGCAGTTTAAGTCCACGGCTAGAAATTATTAATATAACCCACAGAAGCGTTCACTGAGGGAGTCGTATCTACTGGTAGAAGCTGTGTGCCGGTTGTAGAATGATCTTAGGATGAGGATGAGAGAATCCTGCAATATCCAAAGTATACAACACGCTTTTGAGTCAAGCAAGTAGACAGTATAGACCAGTGGGAAAACGAAACAACAACAGTTATCTGTATTCCAACATGAACCATTTTAAACAAGAGTCATGTACAATTTCCCTAATTTCAACATCTAACAAGAAGTTGTACAGTCATATTCTTACGTGCTCAAAAGGGCTTCTAACACTTGGTATTATGTGGCCACTCACATGTTGTAGGCGATTAAGAAACTCAGATGGATGGAATGAACTACCATGCAGGATCTATATCTTCTTTATTATTTGTAAGGCTTTCTTCTTCTCTATTGAATGGTGAATGCCCTACCGATTTTTCGACTAGGTATTCCTCACTTCACTTGCCCTTTGCTATGCTTTGGGAAATAAACGTTCATAAACACCATTGGTCTTTTACAATATTTCAGGACGCTGGTTGGTAATTTGTGCAATCATTTCGATAAAAATAGTCTGTTTCTAAACATCCACGCCATTCGACATGCCGCAGTGTTTCGTTAATTTGTTTGTGTACAACCCCTAGCTAGCTAAGCAGTCAGCATTGCACTACGAAACTGATCCAGAAATATATTTCGTACTTCGAACGATTGTGGTCTTTCTTTTCCTGATACTACTGATAGTAAGCCAATCGGAATTCATACTGTACAAACGTTACCTATCTAACCGTTGGTCAAACAACTGACCGAACGGTTTTCGGCATTTTTCATCAACTCCAAGCACTCCATCTGTGCCAATATACGACTTCTTTCCATGATACTATTTGAATGGCAATACTGTCGTAACTAAAAAATTGTTTCTCTCTTGCTCAGTTGTAATAAGTTTTCCAACGTTATTGTATGAATATCAGATTTACCAGTGTGCGCCATGGAAACCTCCCGAGGAATGGTCAGAAGTTCACTACTTTTAACCGGTATTCACTGGGTATTCAGCCACAGTATTAGCTCCCTTTGTGATAAGACATGAAGGAAATCGTAGCGAAATTGCACATGGGACCGATAAGACTAATAAAGTTGCTAAATTTCTTAAACGACTCAGACAGTCTTTCATAAAAGATGTTCAGGAGACTCATGTGTTTTGTATTATCTGAATTCGCAATAAATTGATCGACATCATCAGTATGTATGAATGAGGGGCCACAAAGGACCTAGTTGATTAGTCGCTGAAATGTACAATCGGCATTCACAAGTTCGAAATCGTTCAGATGGCCCATATAAGCTAATAGGAGTTGTAGAGGCTATTTTCAGAAAATCATCTGGATTGAAGGGGGCCTGATTTCAAGTCCGCACACTGTTACTGTTACGAAAACAGTGACGTTAGGTAGACAGCTACGTCGCTGGCGTGAGACAATTTGTATCAATCAGGGACTGTCTAGTTGCTTAAAGCTTGATAGTCTTATTATGGTCTTGTCTTTTTTCAATTATGTTTCGGAAATATGTGAGGCGAAAATTCAAACTTATTTTCTGCGACACAGTCACATATTTGTCGCAAATTTTCGCCCTAAAAATGTTTTCCTTCCCACAAAAATGATGTTAGGTAAATGTGGGTATTAAACAAAAACTCTTTTTCATGCTTCACATTCAGGAAATCAGAGAAAAGTGCCTTGCTGCACTACAAATTTTCAAATTTTTGGATCGACTTAGTCATCTTTCTTCAGTTAGGTGTAATTTAGTTCGAAAATTTGTAAAGAGTTATGATCAGTAGTAGGATACCTTGACATTGGATTGACTTACTATACGTTTTATTTCTTCTCACGTCATTCTGTATATTGTGGTTATATCTCATTATCTATATTTATAAGCAGAAGTTTAGCATAACTTAATGACTATGATTACTTTTTTATCCATCGGATACATATGGATAATTGTTCTTGAAATACCAACAGAATTATAAGCCTGTGAAATCCTGTCATTATTTGAAGCGGTGTTAATATGCTACTGGACAGAAGGACTGTCCCATGGTTGCACAATCTTCTAAACTATTCGTTAGATGTTTGAGGTTTTCAATTATTGAATGACGTTATTTTGCGGTCATTGAGAATTTTGACGCTGAAATATTTCGTATATTATATCCGACTTATATCAGACCTCATTTGGAATATGCGATCCAGGCAGCGAGCCCATGTGTAGGGGACTTATGTTAGAGTTCACTAGTACTACAAAATATGAGAAATAAAATTCAAGTCAATGGAATGTTAAGTAACAGTATATTACCAAAAATGCAACGACACGTTATATCAACAAAAGGGTTACTTGGAAATAAACTTTAAGTCCTCTGCTACAAATTATTTATATAACCCACGGAGACGTTAATTGTTTGGACGGAGTAGGTTGTAGCTGCTGTGTCCCGATTGTAGAATTGTCTTCGGTTGAGCGTAGTGAACTTCTACAATAAATCCGAAAGATACAACACGGTGAGAGCTGAGCTAGTAAGCCGAAGAAACCAAGGAGAAGACGAAGTCTCCAACAGCAGAGTGTATTTTTCAAACGAACACGGAAGCCAAGTGTATTTCAACAAGAAGCGTTTTAAACAAAAATTATGTACAATATGTCTAATTTCTACAAATAACCAAAAAGTGTACAATCACATTGTTACGCACTCCACACATGTTTCAAATACGAAATAGACTTATTAGAAAGGGTGCAAAGGGTAGGAACTAAGCTAATAAAGGGTTTCTCAACCCTCTCATATGAGGAGAGGTTAAGTCGACTGGGTTTATTTCCACTGTCATACAGACGACTGAGGGGTGACCCAATACTAGCATACCGTATCCTAAGAAATGATTTTGCAGCTAATTTATCTAATTTATTTCTTCCCTCTAGCACCAACCAATTGGGAGGACATCACCTCAAGGTTCAAAAACCACGGTCGAATTGTCTGCGTCTGGAGACCCGTTTTTCGCATCGAATTGTGAACCATTGGAACTCCCTACCGGAACACGTCGTATCAGCGCCATCCGTTGATTCATTCAAGGCGAGATTGGACCTCCTGTGTGTAACAAATCGAAAGGATTAACACAGGAATATAGCCTACTATCCCAAGTAAATTGTAAACTGTAAACTGGTGGACCAGGTGTCGTTGTGTGACAGGGAACACCATTACATGTGTAAGAAGGGAAATGAACATGTAATACAGGTCGACATATTAACTCTGCTTAAGTCAGATACTTTTTCCACCGAAGATAAATATTTCTGACAGTAAAATATAGCTAACTACACTGACTTCAAACAACCAACGGATTAATTAC